TTAGTGTTTTTAAATAATTGGTAAAACAGAATTGGTAAAGAAAAAAATATTAAATAGATCCAAAGAACCTTTCAGTAACCATGTCTGTTCCAGTGCATATCATCATTAGAATTTATTTGAGTATTATGTCTTCAGTACAGGGACCATAATAGGGGCCAGGACATGATCTACAGGGGCACTGGCCCCAGCTGGCCCCCGTCTAGAACCACCCATGGTTAGATCCCTTTGATTTTTATATTCCTTAAGTCAAGTGTTAGTGTTTGATTAATGAAAAATACATTTTAAACTTAGAAATATCCAGAAATATCTTTGCTTCTCTAAGCTTGTGATAAATGTCATAAATGGGAACAAAGTAATTCTGTCCTTCCGATCAGAAGATCATTCAGACTGATAAAGCTTAGCATACCTAATTAGGCTGCAATCTTGTATAAAATAAAACATTGAGTGCATTTACATAGTAAACCTGATTTCCAAGAATGGTCAGCATACCATCATTGAAAGAAAACCACATATAGTCTGGTTGAAATGTATTAGAATTGATAAAAGGAAATAATAAAAAAAAGGTTGAATGAATTCTACAATTCTGAAGATGTGTAGATAACTGGTTCTTTTATTTGGCAGTTTACAATTTCCCCTGTGTTTTATTACAGAAACGTAATAGATGGTGCATGCCATATTTACTGAACTCCCAAACCTTAATTCAGCAAAGCTTTTACAGAGAAAAATATGAAGAGGAAAAAACACAAGCAGCAGACTACGCAGGCAGATATCAGTGGTAATACTGAAGGTTAAAAAGAGACTACTTCAGTGGGCTGTATGTAAAGCTTCTTGCATCCATTATCTACCTAAACCTCTAAGGAGAGAAGATGCTAATGGTGCCTATTCGCCCACACAGACATACTTTAGGTTCACACTATGAAATATCAAGATGGGAGCAACAGCACATTCCACTGTCCAAGACACTGTGCATGGTACCAGTTTGGTCTCATAACATTCATTCTGTTAGACTCATCTCCTATTCCTCGGAGATCTATTTATTTGGCAAACGACTGGTTGAAAAAAGTGGGAATATGTAGATGTACGAACATTAACTCCCTTTCAGGCAAGTACATT